CCTCAGCCCATCGGTCCAGCCTGTCCAGTGCTTTGGGCTTTCCTCCCCAGCAGGAAGGGCACGTCCTGCCCCTAATGCTCCGGGAAGAAAACCATAAGTGCTTCAAGAGGGGAGATGCACAACCTAGTAAGAAGCAGAGTGACTTACTTCTGCTGCACTGTCCTCAGCCAACTGCTGAGAAGAGAGGATTGCTGCTGTGAACACATGTTGCTCAGAGACTACATGGCATTATTACAATGTGGGCATCATCAGTAGAAGAAGGGAGCCTTCCTCTGGGACACCCAGGCTCTAGCGTCCTCCGAGCAGGATGGGATTTCACTGTGAGTTTGGAAAGCTCTACCCAGGGCTCCAGCACTTACCAATGGCTCCCAGAGCGACAAAGGTGTTCTGCCTGGGGCTGATGTGCTTGTTGTAAGGGCGGTTGCCATACATGTGAGCAGCGCTGTTGACCAGCCAGGTGACGTTCAGGGAGATGGTGTACCGGAGGATGGAGGCAAGGAAATAGGCGTTCCACAGACTCTCACCCCAGAGGTACCACGGCACAAAGGTAGGGACCACAAAGCACATCAGCACGACTGAACTCTTGTAATACCTGCGGGGAAACAAAAGGACACCATTACCGTGGTGGGAATGACAGCTGTGGGGAGATGGAGTTGGATCTCTGGAGATGCGGCCATGCCAAAAACCCCTGGCATAACCTGGGCCGGCCCCATAACCTCTCTTTGCTCTGCTCTCACAGCTATGAGGCAGAGGGATGTGACCGGAGCTGTGGTGCGGCAGAGGGACTGCCTCCTCCTGCATGTTTTGGGTTTGAATGAGACTGCTCCAAGTGAGCCACCTCCATCTTCAGAGAATTTACCTTTGACAACCCCAGCCAGGCGGAAAGTCTCAGCCCAGAACCTCCACATCTGCTGCTGGGGATGTACTTATACTGCATCCTTCTGGCACCGAGCCTTGCCTAGCGCTCAGCACCACAGCCAGCCACTGACTGCTAGGAGGGACCATGGCTGCCATTCCCATCCTCTCTGCACTGGTGGCAAAGCCAAAAGCGCCAGAGGAAATTAATTACTCTAAAAGGAGAGTGGGCTAATGGCGCTCAGAAGCGGAGAACAAGACAGTGCAGCTTAGGAGCCACCTACAGCATCTCCCCAGCCTGAGAGGAAACAATGTCCTGTCATCCCTTTCACTTCCCCAGAGCCCAGATTTACTACAGCTCATGGTGATTCCGGGGTATCACCATCAAAGCAAGCTGTGACATGAAACTGGAGCAGTAGGCTGAGGTGACAGGATTTGGAAGGGTTTGGAAAGAAAAGAAACATAAGGTAAGACCTATCCTATTTGTGCCCATGTGACCCCTGCTTTTGTTGAGTTTTCTGGAAAGGATGAGGAAGAATGGAGCTTGGATTTACTAAACAATTATTAAAATTTTCCTTTTGCTAGAAGTTTTTCAGCTAGGAAGAACTGTCAGTTTGACAAAAACAATCAATTTTCAGTTAAAACCCGCAGAGGAAAATGTTAATTCTAGCAGTACTTTTGGAAGGAAGAAAGCTTCCGTGAACATAGTTCTTGTCTATAATGCACCAGCTAGTTTTGATCATCTTGTGTATGAAATTAACCTCTTGCCCTGAAAGTTCTTCATTTGATATTTTTTCTTGTTGTTTGAGGTTGTGCCTCCCATGCTGGGCTCCAGAAGGAGATCTGAAGCTCTCCATCAACACTGGCCATGGTGAAAAGAGATCATCTCCTCAGCTTTCTCACAGGACTCTCATCTTCGCTTACCTGAGCCAAGGCTCTCCAAAGGAAACAGTCCCCATTCTTCGCTCCACCAAAGATAAGAGATAATTTCCCACTGATCTGACTGACTTCTGAACCAGGCCATGGATAAGGTTTCCAAACCTCATCAGTTCAAGGCCAGAATTTAAATAGAGCTGTATGAGTAAAATATTTTCCAGTACAGAACACTCATTCAAAGTTCAAAGCCCCTCCCACTCTGGGAAAAGAAAACAAAACATGAAAACAGCTTCTCAGGCACCAATTAAAATCATTCTGTGAGATGCAAGAAGCCCAGCCTGATGAAGACACAAGATCTCACATCCAAACAAGCGCCCAACTGCTTTTTCTCTGTCTCCCTTTGACTGAAACATCGACCCTGGAATGAGAAATCTCCTTATCTGGAGTCCAGGGGAACAAATGCCTCAATACATTACTGGGGAACAGGACTGCTTTCACCACACGAAAATTCTTGTCAAGAAGACACTCTGCCCGTGAGTGCCTCTTTCACATGGTGTGCAGGATCATTGCTCCATTATTCACAGAGGGTCACATTTTGCTGTCAGTCATGCCTGCAGCTGTAGGGTGATTTCAGCTGAAGGGCTGTCATTTGAAACTGCAGATTGAGTGGAACCTCATCCACAGCTCACCAGCACATTCAGCAAAGCGAACAATCTGGCCTTAAAACAAAACGTGACAAAGAAGAGCTTACCGTGATTCTTACTGATCTCACCTGCCAGGTTTCCCATGCTGTCAAAAAACCACCAACACTTCAATCTTACAGAAAGGAGAAACCTGAATTTTTCTTCCCAGATAAGGGAAAGGTAAACTCCAAAGTCCTAAATTCAAATCCAGAGCAGAGACACTTGCTAAGACATAACTACCCTGCAGAAAACAGACTTCATCACTACACAACGTTTGCAGCATAACTAAGGCAGTAGAGCCTGCTTCTCATGGGATGCTGTTGTCCTGGTTTGGGGTGGAAGGGACCTTAAAGACCATCCAGTCCCACCAGGGACACCTCCCACCAGCCCAGGTTGCCCAAAGCCTCATCCAGCCTGGCCTTGAACCCCTCCAGGGATGGGGCATCCACAGCTTCTCTGGGCACCCTGGGCCACTGCCTCACCACCCGCACAGGAAAACATTTCTTCCTAATGTTTAGTCTAAATCTCCCCTCTTTCAGCTTATACCTGTTACCCCTTGTCCTCTCACTACACCCCCTGATCCAGAGCCCCCCATCTCTCCTGTAGCCCCCTTTCAGCACTGGAAGCTGCTGGAAGGTCTCCCCGGAGCCTTCTCTTCTCCAGGCTGCACACCCCCAACTCTCTCAGCCTGTCCTCGCACGGGAGCTGCTCCAGCCTCTGACCATCTCTGTGGCTCTCCTCTGGACTCTCTCCAACAGGTCCAGGTCTTTTTTATGTTGGGGGCCCCACTGCTGACCACAGAACACTTCTGCATTAAGGCAGTTAGTGATTACAGCCTTTGCTCCAATGATCGAGGGAGAAGGCCAAGAACACAGCAATTTCAGTGGCTGTTTACACAGCCCGCCCTGGGTTCCTGGAAAAGCAGAGGCACAAGGACAGGGCACACTGCTTTTGCAGGAGAGCCTGTAAGGACAGTCAGCAATCCTCAGCCACACGGTAATAGTGGGGGCCAGAGGGACAGCAGTCCTAATGCTTGCAATCTAGGTGGCAGGGATATCTCGGGGGGAGAAAAGGGAAAGATAAAATTAAGAAATGAGCCACAACCAGACAACCACGTGGAGGGACCACTCCACCCTGCCTCGCACGAGGGCCAGGCGCTCCCACTTACTTTCTTTGGAACATGACGACAGGGTCGTCCAGCAGGTCAGTGAAATCCAGTTTCCTCCCCTTCTCTATGACATCCCGGTGCTTGCGAACAAACAACCAGCCGATGTGGGCGAAGAAGAAGCCGCGGCTGGCGTTGTGTGGGTCCGCGTCCGTCTCCGAGTACTTGTGGTGCATGCGGTGGTCTCGGCTCCACTCGTAGATGTCGTTCTGCACAGAAAGCAGGGTGGGGTGAGAGGAAAGACGCTGGGCACTGCTTCAGCAGTACCACCTCCTGCTCCTTCCCCACATCCTAACAGCAACAAGCCCCTCACTGATGGTCCTCAAAAAAGGTTATCAACTAAATCCACCCCAAGGGACCCTGGCTTTGCAGTCAGGCAGCCCATCACACTGCTCCCATCAGTGCCCACACCGAATGGGACATGGTGTGGGAACCAGTGACAGAGTGGACACATCCCAGGGCTGGAGATGGCTGGAAGCCAACAGCTTCTTGGGAGTTACCATCATCAGACTGCCCTGGTCCTGTGTTGTCCTCCTTGGGTGTTCACTGTCTGAGGATGGACGCTGGACCAGAGGGACCAAGAACGTACATGTTTACATTGTTATTTTATCACCCTGCCACAGGGGAGCTTGTATATTTATTTTCAGGGCAGTACTGGGCGGAGGCACTCAGTTCTAGCATCCTTTTTCCAAGCTGGCTGCAGCTGATTACCACTGATGCCATCCAGGGACAAACACAGTGCTGAAAATGGGACAGAGCTGTGGAATACTACACATGCCTTTTCCTGACCTGAGCAGGAGCTGAATGTGTTCAGCCTTTTGGAGGGATGCATCTTCCACAATAAAAAATGGCACCTCCATTTAAATTATTGCTCTGTCTGCAGGGATGTGTACAAGAGCACAAAACTGAGATATCAACGGAGATGTGCCTATTTTGCACGAAATCAAGTCTTGTATTTGCAGCCAGGCTGGAATAAAAGACTTAGACCCATAACTCAGCTCAGCATCAGATCCAGATCAGACACAAAGTAAGTTCAGTCCTGTTTCTGCTCAAGCTGTCAGCGGATGGGGGTCACTGAAATGCCTCACCGCTGCAAATGGGATTGTGCGACTTGCAGGGAGGGAAGGGCTGGACCGCAATTTCAGACTTGGATCCATAAAGTGAGACTTTCTGTGTCCAGAGAAGGGCAACAAAGCTGGGGAAGGGTCTGGAGCACAGGTCTGAAGAGGAGCGGATGAGGGAGCTGGGGGGTTCAGTCTGGAGAAGAGGAGGCTGAGAGGAGACCTCATCACTCTCTACAGCTGCCTGAAAGGAGGGTGCAGTGAGGGGGGTGCTGGGCTCTGCTCTAAAGGAACAAGTGATGGGACAAGAGGAAACGGCCTCAAGTTGCACCAGGGGAGGTTTAGGCTGGATATTAGGAAAAAATCTCTTCACTGCAAGAGTGATGAGGCATTGGAACAGGCTGCCCAGGGCAGTGGTGGAGTCACCATCCCTGGAGGGGGTCAAGAAACGTGTAGATGTGGTGCTTCGGGACATGGGTTAGTGGGTTGGGTGGGGTTGGGTTGACAGTTGATCCTTGAGGTCTTTGCCAACCTGAATGATTCTATGATTGTACTCAGAGAAGGGGATTTCATCCTCCCAGGTTGCACTGCAGGATACACTGGCTACTGGACTAAACTGGTGCTTTCTGCAGGGGTGCTGAGCTATTAGGGCAGGGCACTGTGAGCCTGTACAACACATCAAAAACTCAGGCCACACACTCGTCTATGAATTGAATTGCCCAACATTAGCCCCAAAACATGGAAATGTTAGTTAATGCCTGTTGCGGTTTTGGGTGGTGGGTTTGTCTGGTAGCAGGGAGGGGCTGCAGTGGTGGCTCCTGTAAGTGACTGCCAAGGGTTCCCGCCCCCCCCTGGCTCCAAGGGTTTAGTAGCCAGGGGGGAGTGGGGGAAGTAGTACCACCACGGCATCTGAGAGAGAGGACTACGCAGACACGCCGGCCAGAGAAGAGGAAAGCAAGAGGAAGGAGCCACACCCCTCCCAGAATTCTCCCTGCAGCATGGTGAAGATTCATGGTGC